AAAATCCAATAAAATTAGGAACATTGAGGATTACATTCATACATCGTCTCCAAATAACAAAACCGTTCATTAGCAATATTCTGCAAGCCTTCTTAGTATCATACTAATAGTATGTTTTAATAGAGTAAAAATAACAAATTTATGAAACAAGATATTATAAGCTTCGGATTAAAACCTTTTTAGTGGGTTGCAAAATTTTAAGACAAAACCATAAACACTTCAACGCTTGGTCTACTGGCTTTTAAAGAACCTCTCTCTGATTAAGATCAACTCCTTCACGACTTCACTCGTTGCCAACCGGTTCGTCGGAGATTCTTCACAACACCTAAGACCCACCTCATAAACCAATGTCAAGCACTCAACAACAGGGAAACCAACTCTAAGACCACTGTGAAGAATTGATTTGTCTACAATGTCCAATACTCTTTCCGGCAACGCCGACTTGGTGTAGCTGATAAGGGTAAAGTTTCCCCCAAATAACTCATTGGTTGGTCTTTTTCCGGTGAACATTTCCAAAATGAGAACCCCAAAGCTATACACATCACCGTATATTGATGGTTGTCCTCCCATTCCATATTCTACACCATATTTCACATAAACAACGTTAACAAGATTATAATGATGAAAGAATGGATATTCTAATTTTCTTCATAGAACGTTTCAGATGTGTGATAGTATACCTGGTGCCGCATAGCCGATGGTTCCTCTAACGCCAGCCGAGCTTAGTTGGTTGAAGAAGGACTCCTCGTCGAATTTGAGGAGAAGACGAGCCAGACCAAAGTCACTAACATGGGCGGTTAGATCATCGTCTAAAAGAACGTTGCTTGGTTTAAGATCACAATGTGCTATAGGCTCATGACAATGAACATGAAGATAGTCCAAAGCAGAAGCCACGTCTACGGCAATTTTAAGCCTTTCAAGAAATGTCAAGGTTCTTGAGGGCCTATGAATCTCTTCCACTTCCTCCTGGTGCAGCCACTTATCCAAGCTTCCATTAGGCATGAACTCGTATATGAGAGCTCTGAATTCGTTTTCTTGGAAATCAATACTCGAACAAGCTGTCAATAGTTTCACAAGATTTCGATGCCTTATGTCCTTCAAGGATTCACATTCTGCCATAAAGCTCTTCATTGCTCCACGTCTCTGCAGGTTCAGAACTTTCACCGCAACAACCTTTTTCTCCGTCGGGATAAATGCCTTAAATACAATACCAAAACTGCCTGAGCCGATCATATTGCTCGAAGAGAAGCCATTTGTCGCATTACGGAGATCTCCATAACTTATCTTCTCATGCAAGACTTCCAAAGTAGAAGGAGTTGGATTATTGGTCTCTTGGTTCTTCTTTCTTTTTCTCAAGCAACGTAGATAAACTATGAACAATACCAAAAGTAAAAGCAAAGTTATGCCTACGCTGACCCCGATCACAACTTTCTTCAAAAGAGAGGAATGCTTTTTTTCCATTTGCGGGTGGCATGGCTTTAGTTGAAATCCCCTAATGCCTCCACATAGACCATTGTTTCCAAATATGGAAACTGTAGTAGTATTCTGAAATATTCCTTTCATTGGCACCTTTCCCTCAAAATTGTTCAAAGATAGATTGAGATACTCGAGCTTGGAAAAGTTTGCAAAATATCCGGGTATGCTTCCGGAGAGATTATTGTTCGAAAAATCAACTTCTTTAACACCCACCAACCTTTTTATATCTGGAATATCTCCATCAAACGAATTTCCTTGCAGATAAAGATTTTCCATTGTGAGACACTTTCCCAAAGCTTGTGGAAGTTTCCCCGATAATTTATTATTCTCAAGTGATAGTGTACCAAGATTTTGTAGCTGTCCAATATCTTCGGGCAGCGAGCCAGTCAAGGAATTTCCCGACATGTCTAGGCGAAGAAGCTGCTGAATTTTCAGAATTTCCAGAGGTATAGTCCCATTCAGCTTATTATCCCCAATCCACAATTCTAGTAGGTGACTACATTTCCCTAGACTTGGAGGAACAATACCTTCAAAACCATTGTTGGACAAGTCGAGTGTTTCTAACATAGTGAGGTCGCCTATAAAAGCTGGTATCTCTCCTGATAATCTATTTGAAAACAGACTTAAATACCTCAAGTTTATAAGCTTCCCAAGAGAGGTTGGGAGTGGTCCAGTCAAGATATTCTGATCCAATATAAGTTTCTGTAGGTTTATGAGATTCCCAATGTCATGAGGAATGCTTCCGGAAATGAGTGCTCCTCCAAGGTCTAGAGTGGTGATTTTTGCGGATAGATTGGTGATGGAAATAGGCAAATCACCTCCAAGCCTATTCCGACCAATGCCTAAGGTCTCTAGCTTGGTGCAGTTTGTCAAAGAAGTGAGGAATTCAAGATCACCAGAAGAACCACTTCCTAAAGAATTGGTATGAAGAAATAACATTTGTAAATTTGGTAGTTTTCCAAAGGTAGGAATACTTCCTGTGAGATGGTTCTCATTCATTCCCAATCTTTCAAGAGTGGAGATATTGGAAAGTGTTGTCGGAATGGAACCTGTGAGATCATTCCCTCCCATATTAAACGATAAAAGGTTCGGTAACAGAATACCAAAATCCGGTCTCAAGAGACCAGAGAAATGATTATAAGCGACACCTAGAAGCTTAAGTGAGGACATATTGTAGATAGCAGGAGGAAAAACACCAGAGAAGTTGTTTGCTACTAGTTGAAGACTCCATATTTGAGTCAGTTTAGCTAAATCACTCGGAATCTGTCCTTGGAGATTGTTATGTGAAAATGCAAGTTGTTGTAGAGATGTCAAGTTTCCTAGTGATGCAGGGAGCTTTCCTTTAAGATTGTTTCCATAAAGATTTAACTGAACAAGATTCGTCAATGATCCTAGCTCTGAAGGAACACTTCCTCCAAAATGATTTGAATCTAAACGAAGGTTCAATAATCTAGAGCAGTTATATAGACCCGTTGGAATCGGTCCCTCCAGAGAATTTACCCCCAAATCCAAGTATTCAAGTCTAAACAAGTTTCCAACCTCTTGAGGAATAGTACCCTCAAAAAAGTTTTCGTAGAGATCAAGTGTTACAAGAAACGAAAGATTACCAATAGATGGTGATATTACTCCGCCTAGTTGCAATCTTCCGAGTTCAAGATGAGTAACTCTTTTGTCTTTACGGCCACATGTAACCCCCTCCCAGTTGCAGAGTGGGAATGAGTGGTTCCATGAGGACAAGACACTTCTTTTGCCTTGAGAAACTTGTGACTTGAATTCCAGCAATGCTTGCCTCTCAGTTTCATCGGTAAAACCATGTGTTTCAAGTAGCATGAGAGCATTCAAAGCAAGTAAGAGAATCAGTCTCATTTTTGTTGGTGAAAAGTGTGTGGTTGCAGGAAAGAGAATACAGAGACGAAGCAATTGCAAAGTGCATTTAACTTGTGGTGTGATACTGCAACTTGAAGCTAAACAAGGGATAATAAAATGTCAGACTTTGCTAAAATCTAATTCAAGTAGTAGTCAACTGCCTAAAAAGGACATTTCTCTCGAGTCTTTATGACTTTTCTATACACATCAAGCGGTGGCTGGATTTTCTACATAATATAATAACATACGATGTATCTGGACCTTATTCTCTACAAAATTTTATATTTTTCTTTTGAAATTTTTTTGAAAACACCACTTTTGAATTACCACTTTTTAAAAATATCACATTTTAAATTTTTTGTAAAAATACTAGTTTTTCAAAATTATTTATTTAATATATTATTTATATTTCGGTTAACAATATTGTATGATAGTTTAGAGTTTATTAGAAGTAAAAATATTTTTTAAGGTTTTGAATTTTAAGTTTTAGACTTTTAAAATCTATAATTAGTGATATTTTTACAAATAGACAACCTATTATGATATATTTACAAAGTAGCATACCAAAAATAGCACGTAATCATTCTAGTATTTCTGTTATCGTATTTTCGATTTTAGGAATATAATTTCCATTCGAATATTTTGAAATTATTTGGCTTTAGTTGGATACATTCATTTATCCGAAATATTCAATAGTTACCCGAAATACAATAACTGACATATTCATAATTATCCGATTTTCTTTTAAATTTAATTCGATTTAATTATTTTTAACTCGAATTATTCAAAAAAATAACAAAAAAATTGTAAAACTTATACCTAATTAAATTAGTTATTTTTATCTAAATATGTTCACAGTATCCAAATTGACCAAAAAACAAAAAAATGCCTGAACTATATAAACATATCCGATCGTAAATCTA